TACTGGTCTTTTCTAAATCTCTGCTCACTCCTACTGCTCTTTTTCTGGCATTCTCCAGTTTGTCTATACTGTTCCATGGTGTGAAGCCAGCTCTGGACACTATCCCAGCAGAGCGACAGCCAGCCACCAGAAAAGACTGAAGGATGTCCTATGGCTTACACACAAGACTCTGACTTAGATTAGAGTCTGCTTTCTTCCCCATTTTCTCTGCCAGCCATATCATAGCATGACTCACATTCCGCTTGTGATATCCCAACATCACATGCTCTCTCACTGTTACTTACTCAGATATCCCTTGTCTGCATACACACATTTGTTTTCCCTTCCTGGGGAAAACATTTCACTGAAGGCCTTACTTGTATCTGCTGAATCCCCATTTTACTAATTTTAACCATTTCTGCATTTTGTGAAGACCACTCAGGACTCTAAGCCTGACCTCCACAATATCCAAAGCCTACTGGAGCTGGAGCTTTTAGTCCCTTGCACACTGCTCTCTCCAGCCCATTGTCCAAGACATAATGAAAACCATGAGCAGCACCAACCTGGGACAGAATGTAACAACAGCAGCACTGCACTTCAGACCACCTCACCATCTGCCAAATGAACAATAACTGCTTCTTGGACACTGCTTCAAGGAGTCCTTCACCTGCCTCAGCATAATTTCACCTAGGTTATTTTTTAACCTGTTGACTTGTAAGAAGGCTACATAGCTTTCCACAACACTGCCAAAAGCTGTACTAAAGACATACCTACTATTTCTATCTCCTACATGTCTTACTCTACTCAAAAAGGAAATCAGAAAGGTTTGACACATTTTTTTTCCTAATCAATCCACACTGGCTGTTTTTCCATCATCTTATTATCCTTATTAAATTGATTAATAATTTTCAGGAGCATTTCACCATGTATCAAAGTTAAGCTGACAGGCTTCCTCATTTTCATGTCTAAATTTGCCCTTCCTCATCCTTCACAAGTTCTTAAAAGCTAAAGTTCAGGGATGGTCTCATCTGAGGTACACAAGGGGCATTTTCAAGAGAGCCTGGTGATTTGACTGTGTCCAGTTTTCCTCCATTATTTCATCTCTGTCCCCCATTCTAGCTTGTGTTCTTCTCCCTCAGTGTAAGTTAACTTAAACTGTTGCTAGCACCCCATCACAATTAGCCTGTTTGGGAAAACTGAATCTAAGAAAGGCTGGTGTTCATCCTCTTCTTCATGACCAGCTTTCCTCTTGTTGTCCACAAAGTAACAGCACTCTAACTTCCTACATCTTTCCCTTATTTCTACAGCACTGAAAAACTAGAATTTTAATACCCATTGTAGTTGTCACTCATTGAAGTAACAGTTAAGTGTTACTTTTCCAATTTTTCCTTTACCAGTGCATTATCCTGTTGTCATTAGTTATAGAATTCCTGATTTTCAAATAATGCAGAGGGCCTGAAGTATTTGTGATATTTTGTGCTTTCGTTCTTCAATGGAACAGTCTGCTGCCATGTCCATAGAGTCTTGCCTTCTAAAAACCTATCAGTTGCCTTGAACTTTCTTTTCCCTCCCTTCCTAGCCCTTACCTATCAATTCCAAAGTTCAAAGAAACAATCTCTTTTAAAGTCCTTTGACATTATTCAGCTGCTTTTACTCATTCCTTCTTTTCCTCCAGATCAGAAACCCTATTGTGATCATTTTCACTCACATTGTCTTCTGTCTTCAAATTCTCAGTCACCTTCTTCTTATGACTCAGAATAGAACATAAATTCTTTCACTAATTTGCTTTGCCTTCAGAAACAAAAGTAATCCTCTTTAGATTTTAACTCTTGTTAGACAGCCTGGACAAGATTCACTTGACCAAGGGTAGGCATGTATTCAGCTTGTCACCCCAGAGAAGAGACCAGGCTCTCCCAGACTGAGATTCAACTTACAATGTAGTAAATACCTAAAGAAAATCATATGAAGTATCTCAAATGGTTAATATTTTTCCTAAACTGACCCACAGTGGGCAATTAGCTCACACACTGGCACCTATCAATCATAGAACTGTGCTGGATGGAAGGGACCTCTGGAGGTCTCCAGCAGAATAGTGTTAGGGCAAGCTGTACGGGGCTGTGTCCAGCCGAGTTTGGGATATCTACAAGGATGGAGATCAACACCTTCCCTGGGCCCATTCCACTGTTTCATCACTCTTTCTCTCCACCCTATATTTAGTTAGAATTTTCTGCATTTCAAGTTGGGTCCATTACTTCTTGTTCTGCTCTTGTGGCATCTGTGGAGAGTCTGGTTCTGCCTTTTCTCCATTCTCCCAACAGGCTGCTGCAGATATAAGATGCTCCCCCCAGAACCTTTTTCCAGACTGAACAAATCCAGCCCTCACCCTCTTTGCCTTCATCATGTGCTCCAGACCGTGACTGTCTTGGGGACCTATTCCATGGACCCACTCCAGTTTGTCATTGTCTTTCCTGTGCTGAGCACAGAACTGTATAGACTGCCCAAGATTTCATCACTAAATGGAATGGAATGATCAGTTCCCTTGACCTGCTGAGTATTACACTGCTGCTTGTACAGCCCAGGATGTTCTTGTCCTGCTTTGCAGTGAGGACATTGCTTGTTTGTACTTAAATTGTTGGTTATCAAGACCCCAAGGTATTTTTCAGCAAACCACTACCCAATAGCTTAATGCCTTTTTTATATCGTGGTGACCAAAACTGCCCCCAGCACTCGAGGTGAGGCCACCCCAGTGCAGAGCAGAGCAGAACAATTCCCTGCCCTGCCTGGATGGCCATGCTGTATCTGATGCTCCCAAGGACAGGGTTGGCCCTCCTGGCTGCCAGGGCACTGCTGACTCATGTCCAACTTGCCATTGACCAGGACCTGTAGGTCCCTTTCCACGGCACTGCTCTCCAGCCTCTCATTCCCCAGTCTACACAAACAACCAGGGCTGCCCCATCCCAGGTGCAGAATCCAGCACTTTCCCTTGTTACACTTCACAGTTGCTGACTGCCCAATCCTTTTAATTTGTCGAGGTCTCTCTGCAGGGCCTCTCTACCCTCAAGAGAGTTGGCAGCTCCTCCCAGTTCAGTGTCTTCAGCAAACTTACTTAGTATTCCCTTTAGTCCTGCATCCAGGTCATTAATGAAGACGTTCAAGAGAACTGGGCCAAGGAAGGAGCCCCGTGGAACCCCACCAGTGACAGGTCACCAGTCTGATGTGACTCCATTCACTTACAAACCTTTGTGCCTGACCCATGAGCAACTGGGTTGAGCCTGACCCGTGAGCACCTATCACATAACACGATTGTTCTGATGTGTGCTGGACATTTTGTCCAGAAGCATCCTGTGGGAGTCAGTATCCAAAAGCTTTGCCTTTTTAAAAAAACAAATTATGTTTTACTGGCTTTCCTAGATCAGCTAGGTGAATTACCCTGCCCTAGAAAGAAATCAGGTTTGACAAGCAGGACTTTCCTCTCATGAAGCCATGCTGACTGTGACTGACTTGTCCTAAGCTTGTGGGCAGTAGAAAACAAATATTAGTGAAGATTTCAGCTTGTTGATACACACTTAAAGACAGCATGTATAAATAAGTATGACATTTCTTATTCAGTTAATACAACCTACACATATTTCTTTACATGATTTGCACTTTCACACACTACTCTTGATTGATTTCCTTTCCTTACAGCTTCGTTATATTTGGACATGGGTAATAATAGATTATTCTAGGTAATGTTTTTTTTATTACTTGGGATTCATGTTAAGTTCTAGTTATAAAACAGATGTTAGTGTAAAAGTGAAATGCAATAAAAATGCTGAAGAACAGTATTTTCCAAATAAGCTACAAAATCAAGGCAAAAAACTTTTAAGTAACCAGTCTCATAAAGCAAGGAAGGCATTACCTCGGTGAACTGCACATCAGTTCTGGTTGCCATATTTCTCAAAAGCGTAGAACTGGCAGATCTCATCCTCTACCACAGATTTTGTTTATAGATTCAAAGAGGAAAACAAGCTTTTCAGCTTTTTTTTCTCCTCCCAAGTGGTTTCTTATTTTTGAATGAACCAGTCACTGAACTGAAATAGCTGAACAAACATGAAAAAGATATTATCTCTGCACCTGCAGAAATAAAAAAAGTTTAGTTCTTCAACAACAGGTGTTTAACCAGTGACTTTCACCAAGTCTGTTGTCTGACTTCCGTTGTGTTTCAGCAGCAGCCACTGCTATATGTGGATAAATAGAAATTTAAGTAATTACAAGAACTTGTATGATCTAACTTTGCTGTCTGAAGTTCAAATGAATCCAATGTACGCTTCCTTAAAAAGGCAAATATGTAGCACAGTTTTAATTTAAAATCACATTAAATATTCCATACCCACTTTGCACCGCACAGTTTGCAACTGCTGGAAATACCATAGTATGTTAATACAACTTTTAGGTTTGTTTTTTTTTTTTTTTAAGAGGAAGAAAAAAACTAACCCATGACAGAGAACTTGCTGTGAAAACAGACAGAGAAGCACTTGCTGCCTCATCCCCCAAAGAATCCAAGTACATGCTGAGGGCAAGAAACACTAATGGGGTAGCTATGAATAAAATAATCTTTCAATATTCAGAACTATGTTGAAATAACTTTTGAGCAAACGTTGCTCAAAATAAAAAAGCTTTTATTTCATGTTTTTGCAGTTGTTACACAGGTTTTAAAATATCAAGCTATTCAATCTGTAACATATAGATATTGCTTCACTACTGCCAGTATGGTTCGACCTGGCATCTTTGCATGAAATCTGACATTTTTGCTATCTCAGATACTGCTCTGAACCAAAAAGCTGAATGTGTCAAACAATGCTTTTGAAGCTCACAAATTGGTGTGCACTTGTAATAGTTTGTGTCTATCTTCCCTTAATTATAAATGAAAATTCCTCCTAATTTTGCACAGGCTAAGTTGGACAATAAAGAGAACAGCTCAAAATATAAAACACAGATGCCAAAATACATAACTTGGATGGATTTTATTTTCTGTTTGGCACATCTGTCAAGTACCTAGATCTGATGTGCTGATAAAACAAGACAGCTTTCGGCAATAAACATGTCAGATCCATCTGTTCTTCAGGACATTGAGAAGAAAAAGGATGGCTCCCTGTGGTATTCTGTACTTGAGACCACTCTGGAGAGGTTTCCCTCTGCTGCTGACAGCAATTCAGCTCTACCAGCCTAAGCCAGAGGGTTTCCAACCTTGTTCTCTGTGTTTCACCTGGGCACGTTGGGTAACCGTGGCTTCCTCAGCCTCGTGAGAACTGGTTGCTGGGGTAGGAATGTAACTGTACTGGAAAGGCCTTGCAAAGTCAAGAAACAAAATCCAGAAAACAAGAGTGAAGCCAATACTGAATTTACTTAACCCAGGATCCAGGTTCCTGCTGTGGCACTCAGCAGCTGTAGACACCTCACTCTGCATCTCAGACTTGGCTTGTACCCCCTGTGTCCTCCCCTTTTTCAGAGCCACAGCATCCCTTCTCACACTATTTCCCTTCTACTTGCAGAAACTCACGTTGTAAATACACAAGTCAGGGCAGCCTGTATATCCCTCAAAACAGTCAGTGGTCTAAACAACTGAAGGTGACCCTGAGCAGACAAGAGCTGCTCCAGTGTGTGCCACCATTTGCCCAGCTCACCAGAGTGTGGCTGCAGCCAATGCTGAGCTACAACACTGGCAGCTACCAAAGAGCCACCCACTGCATGGCTCCAATATGGACCACACAGCTGGAGCAGAACAAGCACAGAAACAGCTGAGAGGGCTGAGGTGTTAACGACAGAAATAATCTTCAAGCAGTGCTTTAACAAAAGCCACGTTTCAGCCACCTGCAGCCACATTCAAGGGGTTTGGCACCGATTCAGGGGATGTGCTACTTTCTCATAGGAAGGTAGAGTTAAAGGGTTTTTCACAGGATATATACAACCCTCTGATACTGGGTAGATTATAATTATCTTTCACTCAAGAAACACCCATTCATTTCTTGATTTTGACTGGCAGGAGAAAAGTGGGAAGGAGAAAAGTGGGAAGGAAGTCTCCAGCTTAAATGAACATAGGAGCCCCAGATAAAATGCAAAAAGTTCAGCTGCTTTCTGGAGAGAGCAGCCCTCAGTTTCAGCCATACGAATGTAAGAAATAAGTGCGCAAAGATTCCTTTATATCATATACTAGTCAAATATCCATATTACAGAACCCACCTGAAAAGCAAATATCCAAGAAATCACAGCTCACTAGAAAAGATTCTGCTTTGCTCTGCCTCTCCAGATTAGTCACAATTTTGAGAGATTTTTAAACGTTGTTTCAACTTTCCCCTAAACACTTAAACCTAACATGGAGCTGCTGTCGTTCAAGGAAGGCTGTAAAAGTTCTTGTGAGAATCCCTTGCTCTGGCTGGAAAAATGCTAATTGTCGCAGAGCAGGATGGCCAAAGAACCTGTCGTCCAACACACTGGACTCCATGTGCAGGACACACAAGAGTAGGGAACAGATATTATGAGATGAGATGAGACAAGATGAGATGAGATGAGATGAGATCTAGAAAAGGCCCATGGAGTTGGAAGGGTGCCCTTTCCAGAAACTGCAGCCTCTGCCATGCATTGCCAGACAGAGCTGGTCGGGAGATGCCAGGTGTGCATGCATGGATATAGCACTTGGAGGGTGTCTTAGGTTACAATGTAAGATGTAATCACACCTATGTATTCTATCCCTATCTTCATCTTCACCAGTATTCTTTATCTCTTCCAGGACCCATCCCTCATAACTCCCTCCAGGGGGTATCTTCTGCTAATGGGCCAGCAAGTCTCACTGCATGACTCATAAAATCACATCATCCCATTGTGAAATGCTCTGCCCAGGGGAAGGAACCAAGCATTCCTACCTGGATATAATCTGAGGCTTGGAATACCACGAGGAGCCTTACTTACTGGATTCCCAGAGCACAAGAGCTGCATAACTACCACTGGACCTTCAGAGGAAGACCAGACCCTTCTACAGGATCACTGCTTCAACAGAACCACATCTATCATTTCAACAGGACTGCAACCATCATTTAATTTGTCAGCTACCACCACCCTGACAAACAGGTGTCAGGTTGGGTCCTAAGTCTGTCAATTTAAGCCAGTGTTTTCTGCGTTTATTTTAATTTTCCTATTTAATTGTAGTACTGACTTGGAATCTCCCACTGGTTTGTTTTCAAACTAGTACAGAAGGGCAAGTGAATTTGTATAAATTAGTTTTGCCCTCCAGCTTATTAAACAGCCAGCAAGGTGAGTCTCAGAACGACAGGGGCTCTGGTGAAGCCCTGCAAAAACACAGGCAAACCAGAGAAGTCTTGCAATGCATGAGAGGACAAAGCTGGATCAGACCCATACTGACTCATTCTGCTAAGCAGCAGAAGCAAAGGATTAAGTACATCACCCACTGTAGTTAAAGAAAGTCATGCACATTATCAGTTACTTAAAAAAGGCTGGCAAAAACTGTGAAGAAAAAAACCAAGCAATCAGAGTTGAGGGTCTGATTACTGAAACCCAGGAATATCCTTTTAGAAAGCTGGCCTTATTTGCTGCAAATCAGTTTCAGCAGGCAATTTAAAGCTATCACACCAGCATGCTGTTATGTGTAAGTTAATAAGCATTTACTACTGATGGTTTCTGCAGTGACTGTTTAATTTTTAATCATATCCTTAATTTACTGTTTACAGTTTTATCCAATTAGAGTATGTGCATGTGTGTGCATCTGTGACAGGGGGAACATGGAAACCTGCATTTAATCAGAAGCCTTGCTCTTTAAATGACAAGATACATGTGTCTCCTGCTTGAATTTTTTTCACATAGTCCTCTTAGTTTCCAGGACAATGTCATCTCAGGCTGTTATGTTGCACCATTCTGCTGTTAGAAATGGGCACCACTGACCTCTCTGTGCAATGCTGTACCTGGAGTTTGGAACTGAATGTCATTAAAACAGGCAGTGCTAAGAACTAGGCCGTTTTTCTGGCACTTTCCTGAACAGAAATCCCAGCACTGCTTTTTCTCTGTAGATCAGGCATTTAGGTAACACCCTGAATCAACCTCATCCTTCTCATCCACATTGCAACCTTTTATTAGATTCCTGCAGTCAGAAAAACTAGACGCACTGAAGGGATGGAAAATGGACCATTTATTTTTAAGCACTGAAAATTTTTCATGGTGATCAACAGTAAAGTTTTCAATTACAGAGGGAGAGTAAATAAATCAAATGATAGAGCTCCAAAGAAACCTGGGTGATGATGGAAGGACAGAAATTGGAACATCTTGGAGCCCAAGAGATGAGCTAATCACAAATAAAATAATATTACATTCCTATTACTACCTGACACGCAGTTTGGTGTAATGCCAGTGATTAACTAAAATATAAAAAAGGAGTGCCAGAAATGCACTCAACAGAGGCATAATTTGGTTGATATGGATCCTGGCAGAGCCCTCAGGAGGTGATCTGACACCCAGCACAACTCCCTGTGCCTTCCACATTCACACTGCCTCCGGTCACAGGCTCAGCTGTACAGCAAATGAGGACAGGCAGCAACAGGACTGCACAATCCTCAGACAGACACTGCTCTCACTCCCAGCAGGCAGAGGCTGAAGAGAAAAGGCAGGAACCTTTGTTTCTCCCATGTAGCATCTACTTCAAGGAGAGATGATGGCAGGTACCTGAAGAGCTCCACAGCAAAGGTTTAAATGGAGGTAGATGACCAGGGCTCATAGCCTTCTCCTGCTGTGTTCATGGCTCAACATCTGGATGCTCACATCCCACTACAGCTGTATTCCCTGCAGCCTTAAGAGCTATGCTGAAAAACCCAGACCGCCATCTGCTTTATTTTGCTCTCAGGAATTAAAAAAAAAGATGCAATTCTATCCCTCTGCAAATATAATACCTTCAATTTCACTTCTTTTTCTCTACAGCACAAGGAAGGTAAAGATAGGAAATCAATACCTTCATAGAAAAAATAAACATCTAAAGTTCCCATAAGAGGAAGAAACTACAGGGCTATGGCTATAGATGTCTTAACAATGGCAGAACAGGTTGGATTAATGTGCTGAGGTAAAAGACTAACAAATAGAGAGGGATAAACTGCTTTTAGAGCAATGCTATAGATTACAGCACCTTTTTTCAGAAGCCACTGCACTCTGCAGCCAAAGCACAGAGAGGTTGCACATTGCCTTTGCAGAGGAATTGTTCCTAAAAACACCCATGCCAGGAACATCAGTGAGGAGCAGCCCTGTGCTCCAGGAACTGGACCCCTGTGTTTAAAAGAAAAGCTGTTGGCATCAGCCAGGCAGCTCAAAAAGGCAGCTCCAGCTCTTGTTTTCTTCTTTGCCCCTGGGAGCGGGAACTTGCAGCACGGAAGGAGGAGACTGTGTAATAAAAAGGAGACAGGAAGGTCTCCAGTAGGCTCCGAGTCCTAAAGATAGCAATGAAACTAGCATGAAGGGAAGGAGGAAATCACCCTCCCACATGAGAGGAAACCCCAAAATAAAACCTTTTGGCAGATGGTAAAGGCTTTAGTATTCAATAAAAAGAATGAGCTGCATGAGAATGCAAGAGAACTTTAAAGGAGACACAGAAAGCCCAAACAAAAGACTTATGAAGAAGCTTGTTTTTTTCAGTCGCCCTTCTGCATCACTATTCAATTTTTGATAAGTTTTACTGGCTTTTCTATTTAATTGAAACTATGCACTAATTAATTATATGAAACTAGAAGTTTTCTGAATTATAAAGTAAAAGTTCAGTTCCTAGTGGGCATTCCATCTGGGGTTCTCAGCCTGGTCCTGGCCTTCCTGTCTAAGACTGGATCCAGCTCCACAGAGGCAACAAATCCACAATCATAAAAAAAAAATAAAAAGTGTTTAATATTTGTATCAGACTTAACGATATTCAGATGAAAGAAGAACTCAGGGGACTAAGATCTGTCTAACTGCAGCTATTAAAGCACTCATGTCTGAGAAAAACTCCAGAAGTGAAGGTAAGTTATGAACCTATCCCAAGACAATATATAAAATGCATCCATGTCTGCTTCAGACTAAAGGATTATTCAAATTACAACTAAGAAAACAACTCCCAAACCCTTAACCCAAAACATGCAACTCCTTAAATGTTCACCTATGAACACCTAAATGTTGCTTTGATTCTACTACCAGTGAATAGTAATTAGGCTCAATTTTAAAAAGTTAATAAAGAGTAATAGAATATGAAAGATTATGTTATCACTTGCAGAAAAAGAAGTGCAATTTAAAGGCATAGCATAACCAGATTTTGCTAACAGATACAGATAAAGAAACAAAATTACTATACTAAGGCAGTGCAAGTTTGCTGTCAAATTAGCACTGGGTAACATCATTTGTTACCTGCTTCATGCTGAAAAGCAAAAAGTAGGAAGTTACTGCCTACTTTTCCTCTATTAAAGTTAGGTGTCCCAAATTAAATAGTAAGTCCTCCATCTGACAGAGGCAGGAAGTTCCAGAGGGCAATATATTGCACCTATTATGGGCACTTGTTTTAGAAGGGCACAGATTACCTCTGGGGGTGGGTTTTGTTCTTTGTTGATTATTTGAGGAAGGTGAACAATGAGTTCAATTGGACAGCAAAGTTTCAGCTGGATAAGGCAAGATGCAACAAACTTCTTCAAACTGCTTAAGCTAAAAGACAATATAATTGTTTTTATCTTTGATTATACCATTTTGGCATAGAGCATGACTATAAAGAATAAGATAAAAGTGCAGCTTTTATTTTCATTTCCAGCAGTGATTATGAAATTAGGATTGCAAATAACACAGACAGTGCACATCATCAAAGGAGATTTTGAGATCAAATGAAAAACAGGTCTTCTATAGTTAAGAAAAAACTTCTAAATATAATAAAATATCAAAATTGTATTTTTGATACAATAAAATTGGCAAGAGATCGTATTTTTCAATTTGACAACGACCTGCTGGGTTAGAGAATTGAACCCTTATGTTTCTGTATTTGTGATTTTAAGTTATAAAAAGGTTTATGGATTTGATCCAAAGGTCAACGAAGTCACTGGTACCCTTCATTGATTTGAATGGGCTTTAAAGTCTCATGCTGTAGAGGAAAAATGGGGTTGATCCTGTTCTCATTTTTACTAGTTTCAATTTCTCTGCAAGCAATAAAGTATTACTCTTTCATTTGCCCACACAGAACCAAGAGCAAAGCTGAGGTCTCCAATTTTTAAAGAGAGATAGTTGGAATAAAACCAAATCATAGCTGGTGGTAGACATAAATTTAGATTCTTCTTAGTAGAGTGGCTACTCTTCCTATTTGTTTACTGTGCTAGAACTGGTAGAGAATGTGTGCACGAAGAGTAAGGATCAGTTTTAAGTCAGCTAAAGACTTCCCCACAGACTCTAGACAAATTAATTATAAGCAGCAGAAACCTGAGGAAGATACTATCTTTAGGTGCTCCTTATTTCTAGAGACATCCCTGATTTCTTCTTGTCCCAGCATCTGTTTGCATTTCTCACTTAAACAGACTGGGTTCCGATCATCTGGATGAAAAGAAAACAGTAAAGAAATCAGCACAACACATATTATCATACCAGAATTATCCTGTGATCAGCTGTGATCAGCTAAGCCATGTAGAAGTAAAGTAAAAGTAAAGTAAAATTCCCACAGTGACATGACTAGAGAGAACCGAAAAGTTGTCAAGAACAGCAGTAACAGTATAATAAAGGAAAACATGGGTTGCTGACAAAGCAATGGTCACACATTTTAGTGCTTATCACAGCAGCTGATAATTAAGAAGGGAGAAAGAAAACTTATCAACAAACAAATCTAGCAAGCAAATATCAGTAAAAAATAATAATTCACTGGGAAAGAGCTTATTAGGATTCAGAGAAAATAAACCACAATTTTTATTATGCAATCTGAGATAAACCTCCACACCTAAAGGAAACATTTCTAGAAAAAGACAAAAAAACCTCATAGGTGTCTCGGTGTATGAAGATACATCTCAGCAAAAAGACATTCATTAGCTTGATGGGCTGTAAGGGCTGGCTGCCTTTTGATGACCCTCAGAACCTCCCAGGTTTAAGCAGAGACATACAAAAGTCAATAATATCCGTGGTTAGTGTCACAGTCAACTGCTGTGACAGAATGGATGGGAGCCACGCAGATGGACATTAAAGCAGCTCTGGAATCTAGAGAAAGATCTGTTCAGAACCTACCCAGGTGACAACTGATTTATCAGTGGAGCTTTAGAGGTAGAAGTATTCTTCCCTTCCTCTCTCCTACCTCTTTCATCTGAAATACCGTTTGTTTGCTTCTAAGTCTTTTAAGTTTAGACTGAGAATTATAACTGTTGAGATACAGGGGATTTTCAAAGGTTTATCTGCATCCTTAATTGCCTGACACTTTTAAAAGCTGGTCCATTGTCTAAGATGATTGCTCCTTCCACCATCCAACATTCTTTAAATACTCATTAAATACAGCTGGACCATCTTGGCACCTTATGACAAATAATTACAAGGAACTGCTGAAAAGTGTTTCACATAGCTACACCCTCTGGTACGAAGTAAAGAAATTCTTCAGCAGACAGTTGTAGTCTAATCAGCCCTCTAAACACTTAGACTGCAGGGAAATAAATAAAGCTAGAGCAGGAGATATTCATCTCTTGGTCCAGCTTTAATAACAATCCTCAGTTCCTCATGAGTTCTTAAAGGAATGAATACCAAAAGAAATAAGAGTAAGAAAGAAGGCATTCCTCTTTATTCCTAAAGAATTACCTAACACTTGAAAGAATGAAGAAAATGTGATTACCATTCTTTCTCCATTTCTATCTCTGACATATGCCAAAGGGGAAAGAAAACAAAAACCACAGGACTTTGGAGGATTTAGAGGACTTTGGAGAGTACACTTTAAGAGCAGAAGCTTTGAATCACTGAAGAAGGCAAAATCAGTGAGTAAGAATCTCTTTTTGCTGTGCAAGAACTTTTTTGCTCTCAGATCTTTCTCTCAAAATCCAGCTCCTGAAAGTCCTACACAACGGTGCTCTTTCAATGCGGAAAAACAAGAGTGTGCTGACTGATGCTACCAGCAGTAAGCCTCTTAACTGGTCTCACTAAAGAAAGAATATGACAAAATTACTTGTTTCCAGGTCCAGGTGTTGGAGCTGCTTCAACTCCATCTCATTTCATGAAATGCCAGGTGATGGCAGCTGGGTGTGCCAGATAACTGGACTGGGAAGATGTGAATCTTCTTTCTAGTGGAGAGGACTCAAAATTCCAAGACCATGTCAATGTACATGCCTTCAGACTGTGCTCAAGCTTGCAAGGGAACTTTGACACGCCTTTTTGCTCACATACAAAATCTCTAACTTGCTTATCTCTACAGTTCCTGAGGAAAGAGCTCCAGCCTTCTTGTGTGGCTGAACAAGTATGCCAAGTCAGAGTCCTGACATATTATACCAGGCTGGCTGCATATAACACACTGTGCCATTCCCGAGCCTGGTTATTTTCTAATCAGATTGTCTTCAGGTGGAAGCAACTGATTAAGCCAAACAAGTAAAACATAAACGTAAACAAGTTATTCCAACAATGTGGATAAACTTAACCAAGAATAAACTCTAAGATGTGGATGAAAACTTAGTGGGATTGAGTAGCTTCAGAACTGTGGTATTGCCAAGTACAAATTATCTAAAACTCAACTATCACTCTGACCTTGAGAAAAATAGTCAAAGATTGGCCCAATGCCCTCCAGGTGATACCTTTGGAAAAACTGAAGTTCTTACAGAGCTGCTCACTGCAGGTTTCCTCAATGTATCTTTTCTTTGTACAGGTAACTTCTAATAATTCATGTGACTGGCATGCACTTTTACTGATAAAAATATTTTCAATTTTAAGATCATACAGTAGAGCTGTAGCTGAACTGCCAACAGAGAAGTAAGTTGTTTTAAAAACAACAAATCTCTGACACATTTTCATTCACATTCCTGTTTCAAATTAAGGTTGCTTTATTTATGTTGTTGTCTACTGGAATTAACACAAAAAATTACAGGTGCTTCATGAATACTTATGCTGTATAGAGGTATATCATGTATTTTTCAAAAACTGTTCCATATTTTCTTAGAACTCTGAACTTGAACGTAAAGGACCACAAGACCATTGTTAATACACTTCAATTTATTATTTTATAGGAAATCAATTTCAATTAAAATACATTGAAATAGTGACTGGAAAAATTCTATACTATTGATCTTATGGGGGAACCAGTATAGTTAAAATTATTAATCATAGTTGAGCATGTCATAAAGCACTAGGCTAGTACCCATGCTTTATGATCAAATCAGATAAAGGCTTTAAAATAACCCACCCTTTCCTTTGTGGAATATGCCAGAGATCTGCATACTGCTTAGTAAAAAAGAAACAGTTCATAACACTGCTGACTGCCTAGGTATAACTAAGTGAATGAAGGTGCTCTATCATATGAAGCATAAATGCCACTAAGAGTAAACTTTTATTTGAATAGAACCACATTCATTTTTAAAATTACAATACAGAAAAGCTTTTAAAGAATGTGAATGAAGAAAAAGAGAAGCTTTTAAATGAAACAGGTTCTTTTTACACAATACAGAAAAGCAACTTCACAAAGGCATAAAAATGAGAGGGTATTTTCCTGACTCTCTTGAATCTTTCCAATAATTAGAAATTTTCAGTGCACAGGCCATAAATGCTAGTAACAACAGGAAGAAAAATGCTTTTGAACTCTTTGGCAACACTCACCTTCAGGGATTCAAACCAGCAAAACTTTATTCTACATTTTCAAAAAAGCTTCAAGTGACTTACATGTTTGTTAGAACTGCCAATATCGTGAAACACTTTACAAACAGGATGCATTCATGTAGGCACAGCAATACCAGTTTCATAAAATCAGCAAGATGATGTTACCAAAACTCATTTGAGCGAAGAGGGAAATTCATCCAGCTTTCAGACCAGTTTTTTTTAAGCGTAGGAGTTTACATCTAGGCTTAGCAAGTGGGAATTTATCTCATCCACATTTAGTCATCTACTGTGTAGACAAATATACCTGCCAACCATTCCAAGTGTCTGTAATAATCGATGGAGAGCAACAGGTATAATTCATCTGATGTGTCTGAGGTGTGGCTGCTAGATCTGAAATACAGAGGATGTGCAGCTACTACTGCATGCATATGACAGTAGGATTGCTTTGAGTCTCTGTGGAAGGAAGAAGTACTCAACTGAAGGCATGCCAAGTTAGGCTCTGGCACTTTTGTCACCACTGAGGCTGCCAGTGATGATATTTTAGTTTGTAAAAAACTTCTTGTGAACAACTTGTTTCTTAAGACTGTGAGACAGATTCTCAATGGATAGTAAAGAATTAAGCAGGGCAATACTCTTCCAAATGCACCAATTCTGAATGCTGGAGAGCCCAAGGGAATGGGACCACAGAGAAGGAACAGGATCCAAGGATCTGCCTGAACATCATCTGCTCCTGTTAGCTAGTAGTGAGACAGAGCGATATTGGATCCAACTGAGAATGGCATTTCTTGTCTTCTTATTTCCAATTCTATACACTCAGTTTGACAAAAAAGTGTTAGTTGATGAAGACAGGATTGAAACCGAAGCACAGCAGTGAAAATTTCTATATACTTTCTAAGGGGTTAGAAATATAGTTAGGGCTCTGATTTCCTCAGTTCTTTTATAAAACAACTATCAAAGGCGTGTAGCAATAGGGACAAGGGGTAGTGGCTTCAGACTGAAAGGGGGCAGCTTTAGATTGATAAGGAACAAACTCTTTTCTGTGATGGTGGTGAGGCACTGGAACAGGTTGCTCAGAGAAGTTGTGAATGCCCCATCCCTGGAATTATTCAAGGCCACATTGGATGGTGCTTTGAAAAACCTGGGCTAGTGGAAGGTGGCTGGGTGTGCCTGCATGGCAGGAGGGTTGGACCTAGATGGTGTTAAGATCCCTTCCAACCCAGATCATTCTATGAGCAATCCTAATTTTATTCTATGTCTGATTTCTGGAAAAATCTCATTAGAAATCACAATTATGTTACATTGTAAATGGCACCAACTTACAATATGATATATTTAAACTGTGTGTGAAAGACTGTACCTATTCCTGGAATCCCTTTTACCAGCCTGTTCTTCGTGAATGGGTGAAAACAAGTGATTTCCACTGGCACTGATCACAAACAGCTGTTGTTAAATAACAGATTGACTGCTGAAGGCTCTCCTATTTTAGCTAAAAGTATTTCATGACTAGCTAGCACAAACAGCAATAGTTTACTTTGTTTTATTAAACTTTGGGAAATTTTTTTTTCTCTTTCTAATTTACATATGAGTGAGAAAATACATACATATATATGTAATATATGTAATATGTATATATATTCATCAAACATGTAAGACAGTATTGGGTATGCATTAGTTCAGAAGGACTAAACATTCCACTCCAAACTGACCAGTAGGCTGACTTCTGAGAAATTTGAAAAGCAGGAAGAAAAAAAAAAAAATCAACATTAATAAAGTAATAAGAAAATCAGAAACTGCAATCATGATCTTGCAATCATACAAAACAGCTAATACTACATTAGCAGTAAATTGAGTTGCAATACTATTTATAGAAATACATAAAAATGCAAGCACATCATAATATTATAGAGCTAAAATCTTGCCAGAGAAGTTCATCAATACAAATTTCATAGGTCCTATGTTTCCTTATTCATATTCCAAACTAATATACTACACATATTGAAGGACAATTCTGTGTTAAACCTATCCAGAGTGCATTACAATGTATTGTTCAGTGTACTGGAACTTATTTTACCTGTCAGATGAATCACTTGGTTATTTGATATGAATATGTATTAGCAACACAGCAATAGCACAAAGATAACTAACAGTCCCACAGCAATGCAATGGTCTGCTAGGGACCATTGACTGCATTGTAAGTATATTCTTTAGGTTAGAAACCAGACACATGAAATTCAAATAACTGAAGCCATAGATGGAATTTGATATTTATCATCACTGATGCATGTATATTAGATATTTTATCTTTGCTCAGACATACACTGCACATACAATATTGTGTTTCAGCTAAAACAAATGAAAACCATACAGAACCTGTCAGTGCATGCTTGTAATCTGAAAAAAAATATTTTCAGATACCTTAACAGTGCCTAAAGTCTGAAAAGCCTCCAATGAACAACTACGGCTTCTGATTCCAGAGCCACATCCTCTGTTAAGTGCTGAAACTGTCCTTTACTGGAATGGGAAAAATACAACAAAGACTGCTTTTTTGTAGTCTAATGGGTGGTAGCAAAGTAATTTTACAGTCTTGGAAAGCAGTGTTAAGAACAAGTGCAATGATTCCTGCAGTTGTACAGGAAAAAAAGACATACAATAGAAAGGAGTAAAAGGGATATGGACGTTCAGTGAAAATAAACCTGTATTGAGAAGAAGGTTAAGATTTCTTTACCTGTAATCAGGCAATTTAGCATGCTGAGTTCAGGAACACAGTTTTCATGCTATGATAAGGGATAAACTACTGTTATTGGGTAATTTCTGACAGTGCTTTCATGATGCACATTGTGTTCAACTCACAAGGTCTCTCAGACATTTTGGAGCGAAACAGGAGCACAGAGCAAAGGAAACCAGCTGGGAATTAAGCTTGCTGGAGCTCTTCTGAAAGAGCAAGTATTTTTTTCTGTACCTTGGATAGATGCCATGTATGCAACATATGCAAGAAACAGTTGCATAGTCTGTACTTCGGGAAGAAAGGTTCTTCCTGAGTAGCTGGAAGCTTCAGGGTTAGGTGAAAGAAAAAGGTAAGGTCAAAAAAATGAAAACAAAAGAAGGGACGTCTGGTAAGAAGACAGTCAAGATTTCAAGAGCTGCAGGCCTTGAAGCACCACAGGTGTATGAAACCACGATTCCTTGGATGCCAAAACCTTGAGTCCAGAATATACATAGAATGTGGTTTTTTGCAGAGGTGGCAAAGAAATGTGCTGATCTCAAGCAACATTTCTTTAAGGAACGTGAAGGACAGTAGGCAGTAACAGTTCAGATACCACAGGATCCATGAAGTCTACAGCAGGGGGACAGCAAGCTGCAATTGCTTTCTCTTAACTCGTTGACCTTCTAGTCCTGTGCTTGGCAAGTTCCCGTGCTCTCAAAATTTCTGACCACTCAAGTCCCTTTTCAGCCAGATGTGTAACTCCAAATCATTCATGCTGTGTACTGGAGCCACCACAGTAGGAAAGGTCATATTACATGGGAAATGAGAAGATGGTACTGAGTCTAGTACTTTAAAGTTTTGATTATGGGAAATGACAACAAATCTCACATGTAGTGATGAAACCTGGTACGGCAGTACTCAGGTTCCTCCCAGCTTTGATATCCATATGGACAAAGCAGACAGGCTAAACAGGAAGTAGCATCATGTTTCTGATAGACTGGGAGGATTCCATGCCAAATTTTCATCAAGCCTGCCTTCAGTACTAACAAGCTGATAATGCTGCAAAATCCTTGTAAAAAATTTCTGCTAAAGAGGGTTTCATGGTCCTGACTTAATCACCACACATACCCTGAATGATCCATCACTAGAACACAAGGCTCTCACTTGTTCTTTGCTCAGTTATAGAATCATAGAATATTTTGAGTTGGAAGCAACCTTAAAGGTTATCTAATTCCAACACCCTTGACATAGGCAGGGACAACTTGCACTAGACCAGGTTCCAATCTGGCATTGAACACTTCCAGGGATGAGGCAGCCACAGCTACTTCTTCTTCAGTGCCTCATCACCTACACAGTAAAGAATTTCTTCCTTTTATCTAAACCTACCATCTTTGTTTGAAGCCATTACTCCTTGTCCTATCCTCGGCCTTGAAAAGTCCCTCTCCAGCTCCTTGTAGGTCACCTTTAGGTACTTTAGAAGGCTGGTGTAAGGTCTTGTCTCTCCAGAGCCTTTTCCAGGCTGAGCACTCCCAACTCTCACAACCCGTGTCCACAGAAGAAATGCTCCATCCCTCTGATCATCTTCACTGTCCTCATCTGCCCTCACTCCAACAGGTTCATGTCCTTCTTTGGGGCCCCAGAGCTGGATGCAGCTCATGAGAGCAAAGCAGAGGACAGAATCACCTTCCTTGACCTGCTGGTCACACTGCTTTTGATGCAGCCCAGGACATATTTGGCTTTCTGGGACACAAGTGCACACTGCCAGCTCATGTTGGGTATCTCATTAACCAACACTCCAAGCCTTTCTCCCCAGAGATGCTTTCAATCCATGCTCCACTCATCCTGTATTTGTGCTTTGGATTGTCCCAACCCAGGTGCAGGACCTTGCACTTGGTCCTGCTGAACATCATGAGGATGGCAGGGGCCACCTTTCCACCTGACCAGGCCTCTCTAGATGGCATCCCTTCCCTTCAGAGTGTCACCAGCACCACACAGTTTGGTGTTTGCTATGGCAAACTTGCCGAGGGTGCACTGGATCCCACTGTCCATGTCACTGACAAAGATGTCAAACAGTGCCAATCCCAGTGCCAAGCCCTGATGAATGACACCCATCACTGATCTCCACTTGGAACATTGAGCCATTGACCACATCTCTTTCAGTGTGACCATCCAGCCAATTCCTTATCCACTAAGTAATCCATCCATCAAAACCATGTCTCTCCAATTTAAAGAAAAGGATGTAAAGTGAGACAATCTCAAATGCTTTACACAAGTCCAGTTAGATCACACCCGTCACTCTTTCCTTATCCATCAGCCCTGCAACCCCATCACAGAAGGCCACCAAATTTGTCAGGCACAATTTGCCCTTAGTGATGCCACGTTGGCTGACACAAATCACTTCTTTACTTCCTATATGCCTTAGCACAGTTTCCAGGAGGATTTGTGTTCAGGAATACATTCAGTACAGGTAACTCAGCGAGCAGCTGCAGTGAGAGCTGCAGGCTGAGCTCCGGGTGGCAGGAGCCTAAGGCAAGAGGCTGAGAACTGGCACAGACCCTTTGCAAAGCAAAGGGCCAGGGACCTGTGGCACCAGCCAGGTGACTCAGAGACACAGGACAGTGACTCAGCAGGAAGAGCCCAGACTTTCCACGGTTTAGACCATAAGGACACAAAAACCCAGTTTCCTTTGTTCTGAGCAGCAGTTCAAGTTGTTATTCTGTTGCTGCACCATAAAAGGCATTTAAAGAATTAAGGAATTTAAAGATAAAGCTATTTAAAGAATTCAGAGGTCTGAGACTCTCCTGTGGGAAACCCTAGGCTGAGCTGGTAAGGAAACCTCCTTTGTTGTGAGAATGGTGTGTGTGTGTAGGGAGTCAAGCTGTGCACACATCAGCCTGGAGCCGCCCACTGTGGACAGGCTTTGCTTCCAGCACTGAAATCTCTGGTACTGATAGTGTGATTGCCCAAGAATGGTCAGACAGAAAAATTTCCTTAACATCCATGACCTTACTGGGCACAGAGGTGAGACTGAGCAGCCAGTGGTTTCCCCTGCCTTCCTTTATTCCGTTTTTAAAAATTAGGGTTCCCATCACTGGAACTTGATTGGACTGCCACAACTTCTCAAATATGATGGATAGTGGCATAGCCACTTCATCTGTCCCTTGGGACCTGTGGATACACCTCATCAGGTCCCATCAACTTGTGTATCTGCAGGTTGCTCAGATGTACTTGATCCTGATCTCCTACAACTGGTTCCTCATTCTCTCAGCCCCTGCCTTTGCCTTCTGTGGCTGGAGAACTTGCCAGTGAAAACTGAGGCAAAAAATTTGTTGAGTACCTCAGCTTCCTCCATGTCCTGGGTAACCATATCTCCCATTTTCTTCCAGAGAAGACTCATATTCACCCTAGTCTTCCTTTTATCACTGATGTACCTATAGAAGATTTTCCTGTTGCTGCTGATGTCTCTAGCCAGCTTTAATTCTATCAGAGCTTTTCTAATCTGATTCCTGCTTCTCACTTTCTCTGTATTTCTCCCAGGCTACCTGTCCTTGCTTCCAGTCTCTGTAAAGCTTCCTTTCTGTGTTTGAGCTTGCCCAGGAGCTCCTCATTTATCCATGCAGGCCTTTTGGCATTTTTTTCTTGATTTCTTTATTGTTAGGATGCATCATTCCTGCATTTAGATGAAGATGAAATGTAACTTTGAAGGCCCTCTAATTTCCCTCCTGGAAGAATACAGTGCTAGTGCTAGGTATCTTAACTAGTTTGGAAAGTACTAGGTTGGAAATGGGAGGGAGCGAGGGAGGGAGGGAGGGAGGGAGGGAGGGAATCAGTCTTACTATGACTCTCATTGGGCATATATGTATTTCAGTAACTAAGCATCAGTGCAGGATGAGCAGAAAAGTTAGTGAAGAAATAATTTCAACAGGTATCAACTGCTGAGATGATCTTCAGTGAAGAACAAAGCTTTACTCTAACATGTTTTGCTAGGAGGATAAATACTGTCCTGGCAGTATATTCAAGTAGCACTTTGCCCTATATGAAACTCAGAGAGGAACTCAGAAGGTGGCCTAACATTATCCCAAATGCAGGTTATCATTTAATCCAAATATCTTCTCAAGATCAGCCCTATGAGCAGATTGCTGTCTGTGGATACTTTGATCCACACACAGAGCACTGTTCTACCACTTTGAGGACAGTCTCTTCTATGCTAGCCCAAAGCAGGACTCACATTGAAAAACCTCAGAATAACTTCTTCCTTCTGTGTGCAGTTATGTAAGGCTTTTTATAAAAAAGATCTTTCAACTCAGGCTTTCAGTGATAACAGTATAATAATGGTGTTTCCAACAGTGTGCAGCTCTCCCCAAGAGACATTGGAAGATATTTTGTCAAAATTAGTTCCTCAACATCACTAAGTCTGGAAAAAACCACAGATCAGTAGCTGGGCCTGTGCCCTTCTATCCTAGTGGAGGCTGGAATAGCATTTCTACCAATAATAGCCTCAATCAGGCAGTTCTTGCTCCAAAGAAATGTCTTCCTAAAACTCAAGACAAGACTCCAATTACACAATCACGTACTATTCTGGCTTTAAGAGACTGGATGGTGTGTCTTGAATGAAGAAGAATGAAACAGTTTTAAGTCATTTTCTGAAACAGGAGTAGAAAAGAATGCTACTGAGTTTTAAAAATGAAGTTAACTTTCTCTGCAGACAACAGAACACAAAGCCACTTAAAATACCTGGTAACTATTATATAATGCTTTTTTAAAACTTTCCCTGTTTGACCCAGCTTCAACTGGGGTATGTACTAAAGTCAGTGGAAGTCTTTTTGCTGACATCAATGGGTTCTGAATTAGGATCTCATTGCTTGCAACCCAGCTTGTGTGCTACATTAATTCAGAAAAGGGTTTTAACAGCTTCTTTCACCTAACAGTCTCCTGAGCTGTGCACTGAGAGACAGAGGGCTTTTTCCCCTCTCTTTTTGGAAGGAAGCAAGGCACAGCACAGCAATAGCTATTATGTGACCTGGACTTTGCAAGTAGAATTTCCAAAAGGCAGAAACAGCTTTTCAGAGAAAAAAAATATTTTCCCAGTGTTCTCCAAAACAAAATTAAACAAACCAGTTACAGAAAGCCATTCCAGTAACAACGTGGATCAGGAACATATAAATCACAATAAAAATATGAGTGGACACAGTTTGGAGAAACTGGGAAAGTGCACAAAACCAGTTTTGGAGAACAACTGACATACAAAGAACTTTACAACTTATACTGTGGTTGAGAAATAATATCCTAACCTTAGTACTTCCATCAAGCACTTTCAACAGACACACATTCCAGCTTGCTGTAAATGAGGTGATAAGGGACAGGAGTACTGCTGTCATCCTGTCACTCACTGTCCCCTCACCCTGGAATCATACAATTAACACAGGTTTGCTGCACAGCGGAATGTTCTCATAAACTGTTGTTCTGACTATAACTTCAGCTCTATTTAAGAAGATGAAAGTAAACAGAGTTTTGGTTCCTCTAGCTTTTTAAAAGAAAGAGTCTGCTTAAGCACTCTGTTTTTATTTACCTGGGAGGTGTCTGCTTTAGTACTATCCTTGGTGGACCAACAGCACATGAAGATTATTGGCTTTCAGACAAGAGGTTTTACAGTCTGTCAGGTCCATTCATGGATTTATTTATTAAAATGGTATTTGTATTGTTTTACTGATACGATTTTGGATTAGTGCCACTGTTTTCTTCTTGGCAAGGACAGAGAGCTCTTGCTCCCTAACACAGCCCTTCCCAGCTGAGCTCTGGAACACAGGGCAACCACAAGCTCTCATGGCTAGTGGTCACACCAGTGGCCACCCAACCCTGAAAACCATAGCTTTGAATGCAGAGTGTTTTGTGTTTCTGGCTCACATGGGGTTACAGACCCTAGCAAAGCAAGGATTAAATTCTTTTGACAGAAGTTCTCAGACTGAGCCATTTCCCCAAGGATATACTGGAGTGGCTCTGAAGTTCAGCACAATGGCCAACACCATTGTGGGGGAAGACAGAGCTGCAGACCTCCAGCTTTTTGTCAAGCTTGTACTGCATTTCATAAAGCATGCAATGTCTTGCCTTTACAGGATCAGAGTACATAAGAACGTTCCCTCTGCATGGCAAAGAATACATTAAACACACATCCATGCACCCAGTACTAATCTGTCCTTCACAATCCGGCTTGGGTTTATTCATTATCTTACCAAAGTCCAAACTTGCATCCTCAGCTGCCTGGGCAAAGAATAGATCTCAAAGGATGCTGTTCTGTATTCCTTGAAATGGCAGTCATTGCTGTCTGACTGAGCCTAAGTCACACACACCAGTTGATGTGTCCACAGGGGAACCAGAACAGAACACAGGAAATACACAGTGCCATATACAAGTCTATGCAGAAATCTATCTGGACAGCAGTGATCAACTGATCCAAATTTATAGCTAATGTGTCTTCATTGTCCCATATCAATTAAATCCCAACTTTCAGAAGCAGGCCTATAACAGTGATGCTGGATGACCAGAACTTCGCAGTCCATCAAACTCTCAAGTAACATTCCAGATGCAGCAGAAGAGAGAACCTGGCCAACACTGAAGAAAACCATGTAGGAATAATGGATTAATGGATTAATGGATAAAGGGAAAAAGAGTTCTAAACATCTGGGGAAGACATTCATGCTTCAGCATGTGCACTACCTTTGACATGACACAAGATGAGGTGAGCTTCAATTAACAGCTCAAAGGCAAAACAAAGGAACCCTAGAACTCCTCATCACAATCCACAAGACACCAAGCCTGAATAAACAATTCAGTTGAGACTTCAGCTCTTTCAGATAAAATGCAGCTTACTCAACTAATCAGAGTTTTTTCCCCAAACACAGTGAGCAAGGCTTAATTAGGAACATAATGTAATGTGTGAAGGACATTTTGTTAAAAATACACTGCATGTACTGAGGAACTGTTTTTTTTCATAGTGTGACATACAACAGGCACTGAACCAAAACACCACAGAAGTATGTGGTTTATGCTATCCCACTGGACTACCAAACAAGATTTAACATTGAGAAAGTATTGCAGAAATACAGTAGATGATGTCTAAATGTTCCTTTACAGTATTGCCACAATGACTGCTTTTCTTCCATGTTACCACAGCCACTACTAGTGAGCTAGCAACAGAAGTCATCATAAAACATCTAAACCTCATTTGGAAAATATATATAACCTTTTTTGTTATTCCTTCTTCTCTGTCTTGTAATCTAGACTTTGCATTGAGTTTTGTATTTTCTTAGCAGCAAAAATTAGAAGCAACTCTATTCAAGTCAATAAAATTATCGCAACATGAAGAAGGAATCAGCTGTCTCCAAAAAACAGTCTATCAGGTAATTTTCCACTGGCAGTTCTTACCATAAAACAGGCTATAGAAACTACACTGTTTTATCTAACACTGTGTTTTATCTAACACTGAAAGTAAACAATAAATGCAAAATGGACAATGCTTTTAAAGACAGTAGGTCCTCATCTGTGCTCTTTATACATAATTATTTTCATCTTTGTAAGCAGACACTTAAGAAGGACTACCATCAAATTGTAGACGGAGCCCATTAATCACACAAAACAGGCAGCTGAACAGCTCTATTTATTTATGCATTATTTTACCTTTTGTTCCCCCCTTGGAAAGCATGTGGAATCCATGAGACATTTTCACGCATCATTTCTTGTAGAAGAACATCAAGTCACCTTTTATGCCCTCAGGCAAACTTCTCCTATCTGATCTCAGTAACTGTCCATATGAAAATTATTTTTCATACCTTGTGTAAGCAGCTGGAGGTTTCGGACTTCTTCTCTCACCTTCAGCTGAAGGACTTGCTGCAGAATGTGCTGTCGCAGGCTTTCCTGGGCAATGCCCATCCGTTCAAGCTTTTTGTCAGTAAGTCTCAGCAAAGCACGGCCTGGAAGCAAAAGACAAAAAGAAAAATCACCCAAGGATTTCCATTAGTGCAATAGGCTCACTCTGACATGATAACTTGCTGCAGAAAAAATTCTCAGCCCTGAAATACCTCATTCTGAGAGGATACTATTCCATCTGTTAGGTACTCCCTTACTGTTAGAGATTTATGTGCTGCTCCTCCCTTTTCTATTGTTTATCTGTATTGTTTTGGTGCTTTGTGAGATACAGGCATACAAAACAGGTATTTTGTCATTTTAGATAACCAATCACTGTTCTTAAGGGCCAGTTGGTCTCCCATAGGTAGGACAACCCCTATAATTCTACAACTGACAGAGGTGCCTAAATAGACTCTCACCTATTTTGAAATATCATGTCAAGAAATGAGTGAAAACCAATGGCCGTGGGTTTTATAAATTAAATCAATTTAAGATATACCAAGAATGAATATTGTTGCAATTCAGATATGTCTACAGTTTAGCAGCACCATTTCCCAGGATCATTCTGTATTTCATAGTTCAGCCTTCCAAATCTCTCTTAACAGCAAACTATCACAGTAAAATAAAAAAAAACAACCCAGAGATCTCTATCAATTATATTTAAATAATTCCTGAAAAAAGACATCTCCCAAGTATAAAGAGCCTGTGGTCTTTGCAGGCATTCACTCCCAGTTTGTGACTTGTTCTTTAATATTAGGTTAATGTTGAAACACAGTCCCGGGCAGATTATAGATGTTAAAAAAATCAAACAATATACATTCTCTTGATTTTGCCAGTGGAACTCTGACTCCATCTTTTGGGCACAATTATGCCATAAATAAACAGGAGCAAGGCTGTACCCTGGCTGAGCCAACGGCAAGGAAGTTGGCAGAATTTTACCCTAGGAAGAAAACCAAAACGTAATTTCTTAGGTCTTCATCACTGCTGTGAGGTAGTACAGGGAGGAGTGTTGTGCAGCCCTCTACTGACTCTTGATTCCCACTATATAAATTTGCTATCTAAAGGTGCCCTGGCCAATAACAACAAATCAAACTGGAGCTCCGTTGACACTACCTTGAAAATGAGATGATTGGTTCACTTTTTTAAACAGATTTAACTTTTTTACCTCCCCTGCTTTTTAATTATTAAAAATCCCTTTTTTGACTTCTCAGGTCTTATTCTGAAACCAGAAGAAGATAGCAAAGAGCAAGTTATTCCCTCTGCAATACAGCAGCCTCTGTGCTACCATTACTATGGCTTTTGGATGAATGGTGCAATTTAGCTCATTAGAAAGTGTTACTCAACAGCAAGATAAGGCCCTTATTCAATCTCTTTTCCTTACAAAATTCAACCTCTTTCCTTTTCCTTTTTATAATTATTTTAATTTAAAAATTTAAGATAGAGGCCAAAAATTTAAAGAGGCACAGAATATCTGCCCCAAACCAAGGAGTTAGCAGCATGCCTTTCACAAACTGCTAGATTTCACTCACAAGTAGTTCTGTACAATCTTGATATGACACAATGTAAAATACTGGGATATTACCATTAATAAAGCAAGACATTATTGATCAGATAAAAATGACAGCACTCATAGATTTTCTGCCTTTCTATGTCTCTCAAACACTACACACTATAAAGGATGACCTTTTGATTAGGAAACCTTTATTTGAAATCACAAACAAGAAGAATTCTAAGGGTTAATGTAATAACAAACTATTGAAGGTAAGTCTCTTACAGATCAATGCCAGCTGTACAATTCCCCTGGTGATAAAGGCAGCAATAATTACTTCAATTTTTATATTGTCTTATCGCACTAAAACATCTTAAAGCAATTTATGAAGGATGTACAACAGCTCAAGAATACGGTCTGTAATGTCAAATTAGCAACTGAAAGCAAATAAAAATACAAGAACCAGTTTAAAGAGTGCCAAGACACATGACATCTTAGGGCAGGGAGTCAGCAACAGTAATATGAAAGGACAGCAGAGGCCATGCATCTTATCCAGTGCCCTCCACCTCTTTTTGACCATGGATATAGTTATTACTCCTTCCTTCCTCTGGGCAACTCTTTAGTTCATATTCAAATAGGTTTTTTTTACTCCAGCCACTGCCTTTGGAAGTTGAGTGTGTACAAAACAGAGATGTCTCTTTTCAGCTCTTGACATGTCAGTTCCTCTGTGGCTTAGACTCAAAGCACGATGCTATTGACTCATATTCTTTGCAGCAGCTTGCACAAATTGCCTTAAATTAACTCTTTCTTGCATCAAATCCAAAGCGACATGTTGAGGCAGTGATGAGGTGAGAAAACAAACATCCAACTGTGTCATTTCAAGAATTCTCTTAGTAGAGACCAGAATGTGAAAATTCAATCCTTCCCATACCTTTTCCTCTCTCAACACTTAGAACAACAACATCCAAGCCACAACTGGAATAATTTTCATTCTGATACTAAATCATGCCTTTGAAAAGATATTTTTAGTGCCTGGACCAGTCACTAAAGCCAATTAGTCACTGAGGCCAAGATCCTGACAATCAGCTAATGATTTTGGATGCTTCCCTCTCTCACTTCCTATATTATGCACACCTGAAAGAGTAATCATTTTGTGCTAAGAACTCTGTGTTATTGAACATCGAAACCAGCTGTCCAGAGAATTTGTGGAGTCTCTATCTTTGGAAGCATTCAAAACCTGTGACAAGGTCCTGAGCTGCACTTGTCCCTACTTTGAGTAGATGATAGCCAAAGGTGCCTTCCAACATCATCTGTTCTGTGAAATAACCTGTATGAAGGATCTTGATCTAAAGATCTATTTTAATTTAAAAAGCTAAGATTAAAAAAGGAAATTAATAATAATACACAAAAGATGGCCATTTTATCAAGTAACATGGTTAAACAGAGAGAGAGCCATACAGTAAAAACTGGGGGTAGATTTTTAATTTTCAGAGAGTGCAGATATAATACATTATCAAAAGCAGAGCATGTGACAAAAGTAACATTTTCCAAGAGTATACACTGATCTTTGCTCAGACACAAGTAGAACTACCATTAACTACCATTGCAGGAAAATTTCCCAACACTCCAGACAGATACTACCTCTTAGATGTATGAGCTACCTGCCTAGTAGAGAATAGGACATTTTACTCAAAAGCACCTAAACTAAGAGAACCATAAAGGTCCAGTAACAAACACCTAGGCTAGTTTCAAGGCTAGAAACCAAATGTTTGAAACAAAACTCCACAACTCCCTCAGTATCTGTACTCATCTTTTAGCACCTAAACCCCAGCCCTCTCATACTTAGGGCAGATCAGCCGTGGAATGTTCTGAGACACCCTGAGGGCAAATACAAAATATAAAACACTTTCCAGCTTAATAATAGATTGATGGCCTAATTTTTTCTAATATGACTTAGCTGCTGCAGATCTCATTGAATCAAGCTGGGATTAGATGAAAATCTGAATGGAGGGAGAAACATTGCATGCCACAGAACATTAGCAGGAGAACAGGCATTGGTCCAAGGAGGCTGGCATTGGCCCTGGAGCAAGGAAGGCTGCACAGACTGGTGTAGCTAATCAGAGATGCTCAGACCTCCCTGCACTGGTGTATCCTACTGCCCTTCCCCCAGCTGCCAGCTCACAGACACATAGAGGGACACCTTGCAAGAAGCCTTGAAAGAACACTTGTGATGCAGGCAAAGGGACAGGTAAGAAAGGGCTTATTCAACATGTGGAAAGAATTGAAGAAATACAGGGAAACAAGAGCAGATAGCTAATAAGAGGCTGATCTGACACAAAACCCTGAGGAAAACTATGAGTAATTTAAAGCTGATGAAAATGATAAACCACTAGTGGGAACAAATGATGGTGTGAAATATGGCCAAGACAGGTGACCTTGTCTTCTGAGTACAAAATGAAAGGCATAACTGATTATCAAGACAAGATGTTGAGTTTACTTACCTGAAAAATCTGAAAAAACAGGAAAATTAGATTCACTAAGCCTCAAATAATTTAAGATGAAAATTTTTCAAGTTTTTACTTAAATGCTGCAAATGCCATTTTATTCTTAGTTAATAGATAACAGTGTGCTTCTCTAGTTTTTCAAACGTGGTGCTTTTGTGTTTACTTGAAATGGTCTGATCACAGCTCTCCTCTTGCTTAAACAGTCTGATTGTTGGCTTCTCTTGACTGCAGTGCTTAAAAACAAGCCTCCTTGGACTTATCATATAAGAAATTTCCATGACAGAGACACAGGCTTAAATATCAGGTGCTGGTGAGACACAAGTATAAAACTCTCATCATATAGTCAGGAAAGAATGGAAACAAGAATGGGCAAAGAAAGAGGCTATGATGTCATAGTGAAGAACAGCAAAATTACGAGACGAGGCAAGAAAAAGAACAGTCACCAGCAGAATGAGAATAGCCTCGTGGTGGCAGTGGGGGAGATGAACGCTGGGAAAAGAGAACTATTAAACTATGGAACTGATTTGAAAAGAAAACAGATGGATATAAATACAATTGAGGATGCTGAGTTCAGAAATATCTTTTAAAAGAAATAGCACAAACCAGAAATCAATCCAATTTTCAGAGCAAACTTGATATGTGACTTCATGATGCTTTTCTGGACAACCTATCAGATCTTCTACAGACCTAAATTTTCTGCTTTTCCCATGAGAATTTAAGATCTTGTCTCTCCTTCTCATGCCTGTATCATCACTGGTCAACCAGACACATCAGCCACTTTGTCATCAATGCCTTGTGGAAAATCTACAGCTCTTCTTGCAAAAGTAGCTAGATCTGATTTGTCTTACTAATCATTTTAGTCCTAAGACTAATGCAGACTCTCAGTAAACTGCAGCTTGCATCACCATCCTCTTTGTCCCCCTTCAGATATCTAATATGTCACTAATCAGGGAAGACTTACTCGCTTTAAAAGTAAAAATGGATTCATTTTTCATCAGATTTCCGTAGCAGCAAATACCTTATTGATCTAGCCGCTAGCATAAGGGCAGCTGCCAGCCTAGGCAAAGGAGAT